AGGGCTGATGGGCCTCTAAGGGATTCTCTGATAAATTGCTACCAGTTATTTCTTTAAACAAACAGTCCAGGGGAAACTAAAAACTAATGAAATATCTTGTCAAATTCTGGTAGATACCAGAACTTACACTCTTTACTCTTAGCTCCACTCACTGGAGTCTAGAGGATGGGATCCTAGGAAAACTGGCAGAAGCCAGCCAAAGTGAGAAATCTTACCGAAGTCAGCTCTTCCTGATCCCTGTAGTTCTCCGTCAAGAGACACATCTCACGTTCTTTCCTTTCCAACTTCAAACTCTTGGGAATTTGGTTTTGGGGAACTCCTTGCTTATTGATCCTTTCTCTCCCAGGGATAGCTATTGCCCCCTTGTCTTTCGTCCCGAGAACTTGCCTTTCTACTGCTGGCACATGCAGGTTGTTGGTTCTTGTGTACACAGGCAGCTCAACCATCAGGCCCCCCAAATATGGTCTGATCGGAATGTGGGTCGCATCCCATTTGCAGCTAGGGGCCGACCAACTGTTGCCGGCTCTCAAGCTCTTCTTTCTTTTGGCTATCTAGATCTTGGGAGGGTTGTTCAGTAGTGCCAGGAATATTTACTGTTTGTCCAGGCTGAAAGGACTGTTTCTTTTTCTTTTTGTGTGTGTGTAACTTTATGGTCAGAAGTTGGCTAAATTGGAAGCTGATATTGAGAACCTGATAGAAACTTTTGAGGTCTTTTCTCCCCAAGCTAAAAGTGAAACTATGTACCCAAAGGGGAGAAAAAAAAAATCCCAAAGACAAACAACTCTAAATCTAGAACACAGGAATCTTTTGATTTCTAGCATAGTCGAAGATCTTCCTGATATAAAGCAGCAAGATGAAGACAATGTTGCTGGGTGGGGGGGTCAGCCCCTTGATTCTTTGAGGAATTACAAACAATTGTCCTTGTCTTACAAACTAAGTCTTTAACAAGACCAGAAAAATCCTACTTATCCTTTTTAATAATCCCAAAACCTCTGCCCTATTCAAAAGGCTTATAGGGATTGTAAAAGTTCTAGATTTAATAACAAAAATTCTTCTTGGAGGAAGCTGCATTCCAACTTCAGGAAGGTAATTCTTTAAAAAAAAAAAGAAAGAAAGAAGGGGTGGCTATTGGAACTAGGTAAATGAAAAATATTAAAGTTGTTTCTAGTATTTGTGAAGACTTAAGACATCTGAGCAGGTAACCTTAATTCACTCTATCTGGCAGAAACACAACTTGGATCCAACTGTTCTTTTATAATCTAGTGGCTAAAACTTTAACACGAGCTGTAAGATCTGTTCACATCCACGTGTTTATGGACGTGAGTTTCTTCTACTTCTCGATGGTATTGCCAAAATTTGTGATGAGCTCTATTTAACTGACTTAAAGACAAACAAAAGTTTATATAACTCAAGTATACTTTCAGAAATATAGAAACTAACCCAAATGTTTTTCAAGTTCATGTGACCTAGGATAATCTTTGATTAAAAAAACTTAGTTTGTTGGTTTAATTAAAATAGGCATGTCTTTAGAGTCATCAACATTAACATATTGTGGGTAAATTAAATAGGTAAATTTATAAATGAGCTTTTCAATAATAATTATGCTTTATGTTCTGTCTACTTAAAAACTGTTTCCAAACTTTTTTTTATAACTTGAAACCTTATAACTTATACTGAGATAAACTTAATGACGGCTATTTACTGAATACCTAGATCATCCCCAGGTAAGAAAACACTGAAACATTAACTACTGAACACAGGCTTCCTTTCACAGAAAATCTGAAAGATATTTGGGTCAATTATTGAACATGTTTTGTACCATGCTGAAAAATTTGTGAGGAAGGTATTTCCAGAAATCATGGAACAACTTATAAGTTCAATGATTCACAGAATGCTAGCATAAAACAGTACACAGTTGCTTACTTAGGGGTTAAGAAGTCTAATTTATATAAATAAAGGGAAACAGCTCTGTGCCATGAAAGTAAGATGTGTTTTTGTTAAGGGAAAAAGTGATTTTATCCTGAAGTAAAACAACTGATTTTTCCAGAACATGAGAGAGAGGCAAAAAACAAAAAAAAAAACAAAAAAAAAAAACAAAAAAAAAAACAAAAAAAAAACACCCCAAAATGGATATTAAAAAAAAAAAGTTGTAGGTGGTGTGTGGAGAATGAATCTTAGAAAAGGAATTTTATGTGCGGTCAAGCTGACTGATTGGAATGGAATTTTTTTTAGTGAGTTTTCATATCAAAACTCTGATGCAGAATTAGAATTTCTCTGTTAAAAGTTTTATTACTGGTCTGCTCTTAATAAGAAATTAGAAAGTTTTCTCATTACCTTTTGAGTAATCTGCCTAGAAAACAAATCCTGGGTTATAACAAAATAACTTATTGTGCTTCATGTTGTCTTTATTAGGTCTTTGATTACTTACGGAAACTCAGTCTTCAATATTTAAAAAAGCAAAAATTTAAAGGGGGAGGGTATAGCTTAGTGGTAGAGTGTGTGCTTAGCATGCATGAATGAGGTTCCTGGGTTCAATCCCCAATACCTCCATTAAAACAAATAATAAATAAAACCTAATTACACCCCCCCAAAAAAGAGCTAAGTTTTTGTTGTTTCTAAAACTAACTTTCTATATTTGATTTTGAAGTCACTAAATTAACTGGATATGTTTAGCAAACTTGCCAAAAATCAAATTCTAAACGAAGTCCTTCTGACCTCGAATTAACTCTGGCGTTTTTCAGAAAACCATTGGAACATCTCAAAAGATTTGTTCTCTCTCCTTATAAAAAGAGAAATGTTAAACCAATGAAGCTAATTTAGTAAGTTATATAGGAAGCACTGTCAAATAAGAAGTGATGTTTAACATTCTTAGGTTATATTTGTATGGGTATGTTATTAATATGTGTTCCAGAAATTGAATTAAATTAAATATGTACTGGTACAATGTTGAAATAATTCATTATTACCTTAGATAGATGAATGTCTACCATTTTATCTCACAGAAATAACCACATCTTA